TCCGCCAGCTCGCTGACGCACTACCCGCTACCGAAGGGCAGCGGGCAGAAGGCGGACAAGACCCTGAAGAGACCCTCCATGTTCATCCCGGCGTTGACCTGGAAGAGGCTGGTGGCCTCCACCAAGAAGCGGGGTTCCCGGGCCAAAGGCGGGGCCCTCCCCGGCAAGAACTTCCCGGCGGGCAAGGAGGTGGCCCACCTCAACCACGAGAACATCCAGAAGTCGCTCTCCTGTGCCAATCTAGCCGGCTACGAGGAGGGCGGGCAGCCGTTGGCGCCGCTGAGTAGCAAGGGCCTCGCCGGCGTCGCCACCAGAGGCCCGGCCGGCTCCTTGCTGAAGCCCGGCGGGCTGGTGGGCAGCTCCTCGTCCCCCCGTCGCGTGATCGTCCAGGCGTCCACCAGCGAGCTGCTGAAATGCTTGGGCGAGTTCCTGTGCCGGCGGTGTTACCGTCTAAAGCACCTCTCGCCCACGGAGCCGATCCTGTGGCTTCGTAGCGTGGACCGCTCCCTGCTGCTGCAAGGCTGGCAGGACCAGGCCTTCGTCACGCCGGCTAACGTGGTTTTCGTCTACCTGCTGTGCCGGGAGATGATCGACGGGGACCTGGTGGGCAACGAGCACGACCTCCAGGCCTCCCTACTCACCTGTCTCTACCTGTCCTACTCCTACATGGGCAACGAGATCTCCTACCCCCTGAAGCCCTTCCTGGTGGAGACCACCAAGGACGTGTTCTGGAACCGTTGCCTGCACATCATCCACGCCATGAGCGCCAAAATGCTGCGGATCAACGCTGACCCGCACTACTTCACGCAGGTGTTCGCCGACCTCAAAAACGAAGGCAACGCTGTGGCCCCCGAGGACTTTGCCCGGGTTTTGGACCGGTGACTGACGCCTCTCCCCATCTTCAGATTTTTTTGGGAGGGGGGGACGGGGTGCTCCCGGGAAATCGGTTTGGAATGAAGAATCCGGCTACTCCTGCACACCGAGAGTCTGTGCAGGGCGACGAGAGTCTATAAGTCGCTCCGATTTCGGGGAGAGAACGGACGTTGTAGGGATACCGCTGCGCGATGAATGTCATGTTCCCACCCCCTTTAGCTAAAGGGGAGGGGACGAGGACCCTGAACGGGTGTGTTTGTATATGTCTGTGTGTGTGTGTTGTCTTCTGAACAGCCCTTAATACAGGTACTCCTCGATGTACGACGTACAACGTACAACATACGACGTACGATGTAGAACATACGACGTACGAGACATTTCTTAAGCGAATTTGACCCTGTTTTCTGCCCTTCTCGCGGCCGTTCAGCCGATCGCCGCAGCTGTTCGGTTAGGAAAATGGTCGTTAAGCGAATCAGGCTTCCCCGCTGACTTTGCTCGCCAGGAAGTTGCCCCAAAAAAGGGGACCGGGTCACACACACACACACACCCCCCGGGACGTTGCCGCCGTCATCAAGACGAACCCGGTTGCCAAGGGTCTGCGACTCTGGGGATGCTGCAGCGGTCGTCGGTGTGAAAAACGGTCGTAAGGGCGGTTGTAAGTTTGGAACGGTCACTAAACGAACCGTCGTAAGTTGAGGACCATGTGCTTTTTTTAAATAGTGGGGGTTTTTCCCCCCCTCGTTTGTTCTGGCAACGCAAGCAAGCAAACAAACAAACCGAGGAGGAATCTTTGGCAGGTGAAAATATTCACCTAGCGCCTGAATCTGGCGCCGAGGCCATAAAGTTCCCGGATCCTTTGATTTCTCTTTCAAAATGGAGCTTTTTAAAAATGCGAATCGGAACAGAGCTGGAAGGGACCTTGGAGGTCTTCTAGTCTAGTCCAGCCTCTGCTCAAGCTGGAGATTCTTCTCCTCCTCTTTCTCCTCCTCCTCCTCCTCCTCCTCCTCCTCCTCCTCCTCCTCCTCCTCCCCATCTTCCTTCCTTCCTTCCTCCTCCTCCTCCGAATAACAGAGTTGGGAGGGACCTTGCAGGTCATCTAGTCCTACCCCCAGCTCCAGCAGGAGACCCTTACAAAATCAGAGAAGGACAGTTTCCATCTGTTGCTTCTTTTCCTGCCTTCAGGGGCTTTGGATAATAGGTTTTCTTCCTTCCTTCCTTCCTTCCTTCCTTCCTTCCTTCCTTCCTTCCTTCCTTCCTTCCTTCCTCCCCCTTCTATGTCCACTGTCTCCTTTCCTGCCTCCCTCCTTCATTCTTTCATGCCTTACCTCTCCTCCCTCCCTCCCTTCTTCCTTCCTTCCTTCCTAGCTTCCTTATCTTTCTTCCTCCCTGCCTCCTTCATCCTTCCTTCCTTCCATCCCCATTTTTCTTCCTTCCTTCCTTCCTTCCTTCCTTCCTTCCTTCCTTCCTTCCTTCCTATCTTCCTTCTTCCCTGCATCCCTCTTCCTTCCTTCCTTCCTTCCATCCCCATTTTTTCCATCCTTCTTTCCTACCTTCCTTCCTATCTTCCTTCCTCCCTACATCCCCCTTCCTTCCTTCCTTCCTTCCT